GCTGGCTCTAAATACCCCAAACCCTGGTATACGGTTTCAAAACAAGGCTGGATTATCACCACTTTTGAGAGTGAAAAATGTCGGTAATGCCCAGCAGCCTGGTCTTTTGTTCAAGTTATCATAATTAAGAGAATATTGTCCATTTTTTCCGATTTCTGATACAGAATGTCACTTGTGTTTTTATGTTTTTGTTTATAGTTCAATGGTTAGTGGGACACATTGATCAACAACATATTGTAATGTGGGAATATGTTAAGGGTGATATAAGAAATACAAAATTTTTTGTTGAAATTATTTTTGTAGTTCCACATGTTTTCAAAGTCATGACACAAAGGTGATAATAAAATGCATCAATAACAAAAATGGTTGCTGTGCATACACTGAATTTCAGATTGCACCAGCAATGTTTGTCAGAAAGCACACAGAGTATTGATTGCCAATATTGATTATTGTTGGCAGAAAGCAGAGGCTGAACTGGCCTACACGTTGGAAGCCGCCAAGGTCAAACAGTTGATCCGTAGTGAGGAGATTGAAATCGAGGTAGTGGAGAGGAAAAAGCTGATTGACATTGAAGAGAAAGAGATTGAACGCAAGGAACGCGAACTGGTGGCCACCGTCAAGCGACCTGCCGAAGCTGAGTCCTACAAGGTGGAGACCATCGCTCAGGGTGAAAGGTGAGGGGTCAAAGGAGGCATATGGCACGGAGTTTACTCAAAATACCATGAACCACCCTCAGAAAGGAATTGATTTCCCCTTTTTCATTGATTTCACCTCTGAATATTTGATTTTGAAAATGAAGATACCAACATTGGAAAATCAATTTAATATTTGAATATACAGCGCAGTCCACAATGCATGTAATTTAATAAAGGCCCTTAAATGTTGCTCTTTGTGCTCTCTTTCTCATCAAGAACACGAACAGTGCTGGCTGCGAGAGGTGACGCTGAGAAAATTAAGAAGATTGGTCACGCAGAAGCCACTTCCATCGAGGCTATTGGCAAGGCGGAGGCTGAACGCATGCGAATGAAAGCTGCCGCTTACAAGCAGTACGGGGATGCTGCCAAGATGAGTCTGGTGCTGGAATCCCTGCCAAAGGTACTGCTGATATCGTGCATGTAGGAGTCAAGATACAGTTCAAGTATTTAGTCTTTTTCTGTCTGGCATGTTTTCTAGGGGCTGTGGCTCTAAGAACACAGTTTGCAGAGCACAAATCTCATCAAGTGTAAACTTGCTAAATTCAAATGCTAGGTTCTGAAGAGGGTTTGTGGTAGTAGTCGGTTAACTTGGTTGTCCATTATTCTGGTAGAATCTCTCTCTTCACCCTGGCTGTGTCAGTTCAATATGATATGGAGCATGATATGTGTAAACCTCAAAACAAGAAGACTGGTCAAGCAGACTGTTTGAAAATAAATTGTTTCTTTGACTGGTTTGTGAACATGTAGTTCTGCTTAACCCCTTCGCGCTGGACGCGGCTAGAACGCCGTAAAAATTGAGATCCTCAGCCCGCTTTTCAGCTATTGTTCTTGGCCCACGCTCGGGCGAACATGGTGAAAGAAGGCAGACCCTGGCTCTTGTATATATGGTGATTGGCCTTTGTGTGTAGCCCAGAAATGAAACG